AAAAAAAAAAAGTAAAATAAAATAAAATTTTGATTCAGCCAAAGGCCAAATGTGGGGATGCCTGTAGGTCAGTGGTTAGGTCACCAGCCACATACTCTGGGGCTGGTGGGTTCAAGCCCAGTCAGGGCCTGTGAAACAAAACAAAAATAGCCAGGCGTTGTGGCAGGTGCCTGTAGTTATAGCTGCCAGGGAGGCTGAGATGAGAGAACTGCTTGAGCCCAAGAGTTTGAAGTTGCTATGAGTTATGACACCACGGTATTCTATCCAGGGTGACAAAGTGAGACTCTGTCTCAATTGAAAAAAAAAAAAGAGAAAGAGAAAAAATGGCCAAACTTAAGGAGCTGGAAAGCCACTAGTTTCCTTAAGGGCACAGGTTTCCCACACCTGAAGAAATTAAAAACTGCCAAGAAAATTAAGGGTAGGCCAGAGGTGAGAGGAAAATATACATCCTGAAAAGACAGAGAGTTTATGAGAAAAAGCAACAAGCTGGAGGGTGGCACCTGTGGCTCAAAGGAGTAGGACGCCAGCCCCATATATTGGAGGTGGCAGGTTCAAACCCAGCCACGGGCAAAAAAAAAAAAAAGCAACAAGCTGGGAAGCATGCAGGGAAGCCTGTGCGACCTTGTGGAGAGCAGTTTCAGTGGTGCTATGGGGACAGACCAGATTGCAGTGGATTGAGGAGTGAGCGGGAGAGGAGCAGGTGGAGGCAGCTGGCATGGGCATTTTTAAATTTGTTTGGCCAAGAACGTAGAGAGATATGATGGCAACTTAATAGAATTGAGAGCCTTTTTTTTTCTTTCAATGATACTGGAGAAGTGGAAGAAAATACAGTGATAGAGGCCTTAATAAAGCCCATGGGCGTCAGTGTGATGGGACCCACTGCACAGACTTGGAGATTGTTCTTCAGACAGGAGGGACGTCTATTTTTCTAACTGGATGGAAGGAGAAAGGGATTGGTTGGTTTGGAAGATTGATGTTGGATAGTTCTCACTTATGGATTGTTTCCTCTTGGAAGTTGAAAAGCCGTGAGGAGGTCGTTGAATGAATAAAGTGAACATTTTCCCTCAGCTAGTCAAATTCTGGTGTTACCAGCAAGGAAGTAGTCATACACTTGAGGCAAAAGCCGGGCGGGAAGTCGGTTGAGGCTTACGCTTTAAAAGATAAGGCTGACTGAGAGGAAGTAGAAGTGTGATCTTCCTCCAACCATGGGGAGGGCTGCATTTGGTCCACTGAACAAGAGGGTTTTTTCCAGAACCTCATGCTGGGGCTTTAAGTCAGGCTCCCCCTTCCTCGTGCAGTCATTCAGCCGTTTCTGGCCTGTGGCTTACGTCTAAGGCCTTGAACCTCCTCGTCCCCACCAAGGACCAGCTGGAAGCCATTTTGATTATGCTCCACCACAGAAGCAGGACAATACAGCCCCGCCCAGAGCCAGGCGCGCCCCCGCGACAGGCCGGGTGCGCGTGTCCGCGCCTCTTCCCGCCGGCCCGGCGGGCGCCCGGCCCAGGCCGCGGTGGCGCGGGGTGGGGGGTGTGGGTGGTTATATAAGCGTTGCGCGCTCCCGCGAGCCTGCAACCAATGAGAGGCCCCGGCGGCTCGTGCTCGCGCACGCAGGGTGGGGGGAGGGAGCGCACGACGTGCGCGCGACCTCTCCCTCGTCCACCGCTGCCGCCTCCTTCTTCTGCCGCTCCTGGTGGTGCCTGTGTGCTCGTTCGGTGCGGACCTGGTACCTCTTTTGTGAAGCGGCAGCTGAGGAGACTTGGGCGCTCGCCATGGCAGATGAAAAGCCTAAGGTGAGTTCGGCGCCGGCCTCCTTGCCTCGCCTTGCGGTCGGGGTCACGGCGCGGGCCGGGGTCCGGCCTCAGCCGCCGCGGGCCGCCCGCGCCTTCCCGGGCCCCCCATGGGGCGGCCGCGGCTCAGGCCCGGGCGCTCCGCGCCATTTTCCTCCCTCCCTCCCTTCCTCCCTCCCGCGCCGGAGGAGGCTCCGCCGCCCTCCCCCGCCCCCAGTGGCCTCCGAGTGCGCGCCGAGCGCGGGTTGGGCGGGCGGATCGCAGGCGCCTGTGGGCCCACCAGCTCCGAGCGGGGCTCCTCGGCCCCGCGGGCCCCGCGCGCGTGAAGAGGCGTTAGGGCGCGCGGGTCCATCTCTGCGGACCCCGTGGGGGCTGCGGCGGGGTGTTGCCGCCTGCGTGGTGGCGGGAGTCCCCTGGGTTTGGGCTTCATTTCTCAGGGGTGGGGGATGCGGGCTCGAGGGGACCCCTGCCTTGGGCCGCCGCGGCGGTGTGAGGCATTGGGGCGAGTTAGTGGGCTGCGGATGGCTGGGAGCCGGGCCCGCAGGCCGTCTCCGGGGGGTCCGGGGGTCTGGGGATTCCCGGGGAGTGTTTCCCATTTAATGGCCTCGGGGCCTGAGGGGGGAAGGGCAGCGGCTTCTACCTGGGTGCCAGCGAACCCCTAACCTGGGAAGACTATGGTTTGGTGGAGTTGGCAGCACGGGTATGAACAGGGAGACTTTGGAGGGCTTAACTTTGATGCGGCTTATGAAGGAGGCACCGGGAGACTTGAGGGAACTAGGGAACACATCAAGGCACACGGGACTTCTTTGGGTTGGTTTGGTGACATCCCCCTGCGCTTTGCTTTTCTGAAGTGATTTAGGGGCTATGCAATTCCCTCTTCACTACATTTGGCTAACTTCAGGTTGAGTTGGAATTTCCAAGAAGACTTAGAATGAACCTGTGTGTTTGACCCATGACAACAAAGGGGAGGGGAGAATAAGAGCCCTTGGTTGAAAATAAGCGAAAACGAAACTCTTAATAGAGGCGAACATTAAACGTGGTGCTGAGTTATTACCACTGCTCCAGAGAGAATTGGAGGATATTTCTCCATTCAGTTTTTTTGGAAAATGGAGATTGGGTTTTAGTTATTAATCTGATAACTTTTTAATAAGAGAATAGTAGTGAGTTTTGAGTTGCAAGCTGTAGATTTATTTTCTTGCACTCTAATTCATCACTTGGACTTAACGCGCCTTGAAGAGAAGGGACACTTTCGGGGGGAGAAATACATTTAAGTAGTGACATAAACTACTGCATTTTAGAATATTGAGCTTCAAAGAGAACATTGCAGTAAATTCAGTGGGACCCATTTTTAAAAAATCTGGCCAGGCACAGTGGTCACATCTGTAATCTTAACACTTTGGAGGCCGAGAGGAGAGGATAAGAATCCTGGACCATCCCAGGGCAAAGCAAGACCCCTTTCTCTACAAATTAAAAAAAAAAAAGAAATAGCCAGGCCTGGCAGGGGCCTGTAGTCTCAGCTACTCAGGAGGCAGAGGTAGGAGGATCTCTTGAGTCCAGGAGTTTGAGGTTATAGTGAGCTGTGATGACAACACTGCACTCAGGCTGGGCAACAAAGTGAGAACTTGTCTTAAAACAACAAACTGTTGCAGTGGATGATAATTGCATGTCATCTATTCTGTTTCTGTGATCCAATACAGACTAATACTGTTACTGCAGGATCTTTCATTTTTCAGCAGTTGAAAATAGCTGTACACTGTTTTTGTCGCACAGAATGGGAAACCTGTTGATTTCTGAAGCAACTTGGATTGTTGCTTTAAAAGGTGGGACTTTTTTTTCCACATTTTCCAAATTATATTTTTATTTTTCTTTCAACAGGAAGGAGTCAAGACTGAGAACAACGATCACATAAATTTAAAGGTGGCGGGACAGGATGGTTCTGTGGTGCAGTTTAAGATTAAGAGGCATACACCACTTAGTAAACTAATGAAAGCCTATTGTGAACGACAGGTGAGGAATTAATATGTGCACTTCCTTGAATAAAACTATTTTTACAAAAATCTTATTTTCTTGACAAGAAACTGCACTAGCATAGCATTCCAGTGAATATTTTTGGTAGCATGAAAGTGTGCTTATATTTGTCGTGAGTTTTATCATTAATTGCTGTATTGGTTCTTTATGAGAAACCTTAGGTAGGGCCTGCTTAGTATTATAGGATTCTAGATCTGTACCAGAAATGCATCAAATATACTTATATCACTTGTTTTTTTTCCCCAAGGGAATGTAATTTTATGTTTACAAGACGATGAGTAAATTGGTAAAATTTGTTATCAGACTCCTTTTTTCTTTTTAATTCAATTAAAATGTTTCTCCTGGGCAGTGCCTATGGCTCAGTGACTAGGGTGCTGGCCCCATATACTGAGGGTGGTGGGTTCAAGCCAGCCCCCACTAAAATGCAACAAAAAATAGCCAGGTGTTACGCGGGGCACGTGTAGTCCCAGCTACTCGGGAGGCTGAGGCAAGAGAATTGCCTAAGCCTAAGAGCTGGAGGTTGCTGTGAGCTGTGATGCTACCGCACTCTACCAAGGGCAACAAAGTAAGACTCTGTCTCTAAAAATAAATAAAATGTTTCTCTTGTCAAAACATTTGAGTATTTTAACCAGTTTGAAAATAAAAATAAACGTGAGTTTAAGGACATTGCAATTTTTCTAAAGTATGTACATTGTGATATTTGGTATTTTACAATAAATAGTGAATGACAAAAAAATTTACCTCAGTCAAGCATAAATACTGCTATATTATAGGGACATTTGCATTTTACTTAGAAAAATAAGGTGTAGATATCACAAAGAGGAAATAGAAAATTCTGCTCTCTTGATTTGAATGGATGTTGGAGGTAAACATAAGCTTTTACTATGAGAAAGGTTTCTTTTATGATGTTAGGTCTGTAACAAGACAAAAAGGGTGGCTCGGCGCCTGTGGCTCAAGCAGCTGAGGCGCCAGCCACATACAACTGAACTGGTGGGTTAGAATCCAGCCCAGGCCCGCCAAACAACAATGACGGCTGCAACCAAAAAATAGTGGGGTGTTGTGGCGGGCACCTGTGGTCTCAGCTACTTGGGACGTGGAGGCAAGAGAATCGCCTAAGCCCAGGAGTTTGAGGTTGCTGTGAGCTGTGACATCACGGCATTCTACCAAAGGTGATAAAGTGAGACTCTGTCTCTAAACAACAACAACAACAAAAACAAACAGAAAAGGCGCAAATAGAGCAAGCTTTAAACCTGTGTATAAGTTGGAAAATTGAGTTGCTACTTGAACTTTCTACACGTAAGGAAGGATGTTTGAAAGAAACAGTGAAGCTTGTAATGTTAGACAGGGAGGTGTTTAAACTTCCTGGTTCGGCGCCTGTGGCTCAGGTGGCTAAGGCGTCAGCCACATACACCTAAGGTGGCGGATTCCAATCCATCCCAGGCCTGCCAAACAACAATGACGGCTGCAACCAAAAAATAGCCAGGCGTTGTGGCAGGTGCCTGTGGTCCCAGCTACTTGGGAGGCTGATGCAGGAGACTTGTTTGAACCCAGGAGTTGGAGGTTGCTGTGAGCTGTGATGTCACGGCGTTCTACCCAGGGGGACAGCTTGAGGCTCGGTCTCAAAAAAAAAAAAAAAATATTAAACCTCCTTTGGGCTGCCAAGGCTGGTGGATTACCTGAGTTTGCAGGTTCAAGATCAGCCTGAGCAAGAGCAAAACCCTGTTGCCTGTATTCCCCGCTACTGGGGATGCTGAGACAAGAATCACTTGAGCCCAAGTGTTTGAGGTTGCTGTGAGCTGTGACGGCACTGTACTCTACTGAGTGAGGGAAACAAGATGACTCTGTCTCAAAAAAATAAAAATGAAGGAAACAGGCTCTGTGCCTGTGGCTGGCTAAGGCGCCAGCCATGTACACCTAATGTGGCGGGTTCAAATCCCCAGCCCGGACCCGCCAAACA